GTCCCAAATCCAAATTTTCAATCCCTATCAATAATATAAATATTTCATAAGAAATTTTAACATTTAATCACCCACTTTTAACCTTAAAAATAATCTTTCAATCCCATAATCACCAAATACCTCCAAAATGAACATCCAAAATCCTCAAATTTACAATCATATCATTCCAATCCAAATTCCCCCAACTAAAACTCAAAATTAAGTTAGATTAACTTATCTAAATCCCAAAAACATAATTTAATTAATATAAATATTCTATATATTACAAATCACAAATTTTGTAACTAGAACCTTAACTTTAAATTCTCAAGTCAATCAATAGAACCAATCTAAACTGAAAAAATTTAAGTATTAACTTATTTAGACTATCCTATAATTCTAGTTTGTTAAAAGTTAATGCTTACTTAAACTTTTAATCTTAAAATTTATTTACTCATCAAAATATTATTACAATTATGAAGCTTTCAATGAGTCAAAAAATATTTATGGAAATAATGTTAAGAATGGAAGTAATTTTGAGTATAAAATCTTATCCCAAAATCTTTTCAAGAACCACCACTGTGTCTCTTCTCTCCTTCCTCCTTTACTGTCGTGACTTGCTGGAGAAGAATAAAAAAGGAAAAGAAATTAAATGAAAAATATACATTGGGTGGCCCCACGCCAACCCCCTTACTTATGTAAGTGCATGTATGTATATGTATATATATATATATTTTCCTCCCTCGCCCAACCTAATGCACGCCGGTCCCTTCTTTCTTTGTTATTATTTTTCATTTTCTAAAAACCTTAACTTGAAATTTTATCCAACGTTAAACTAAAAAAAAAATTTCTTAATTAATTTATTTACCTTAAAATATTTTTTCAAATTTTTATTAATTCTAAATAATTTTAAAAATTTAAATTGAAATGTTACACTTCTCTTACTCCTAATTATACACATCCATAGTGAACTATGGAATCCTTCTAGTACTCCTACTTGGACACATTCTAAATAGTTCATCACATTCATTGAGAATCATATACAAGTAAGTTGGGCATTCTTGATGAAAGACAAAATTGAAGTTTATCAAACCTTCATTGATTTTTACCACATGGTTCAAACTCAATTTTAAACTAACGTTCATATTCTTCACATTGATAATGGTATTAAATATTTCAATAAAGCTTTGTCAATTTTCGCAAAGATCATGACATCATTCATAAAGTACTTGTCCTTATAACTCACAACAAGATGAGATTGCAAAAAGAAAAATCAAAGACATCTTTGAAACTACTCGAGCTCTTATGTTAAGTAGTAATGTACCCAAATACCATCAGGATGATGGTATTTTGACTGCTTATTTTATAATCATCTGCCAAGCAAAACCTTGTCCTGCAGAAAACCCGTACAAGTCCTCCAAACCTCCTATAACCAAACCTACCTTCACAAGTCTCAAGTGCAGCTGCTATAAACTTAGCTTCTGCACTGCTTCTTGCAACTACACTATTTCTTACTTCTCAAGGTGACAAGATAGCGCCAAACATAAGTACAACATCTATATGTGGATTTTTTGTCTAGTCTGAATCAGTAAAGATATCCATGTTTTGTTTGTCAAACCTTTTGAACAAGAGGCCGCATCCTGAAGACCCCTTCAAGTACCTAAGGATCCTATAGATTTTGTCCAAATGTTTTTGCCCTGGATCATGAGAGTGTTTACTAACTACACTCACTACCAAGGAAATATCAAGTCAAGTATGACAAAGATTGATCAACTTCCCCATAATTCATTGGTAAGGTTTGGAGGACTCGTATAGGTGTTTTGAAAGAAAAGTAGCAATTAGAATAGCACCATCCTGATGGTATTTTGGTGCATTACTACTAAATATAAGAGCCTGAGTAGTTTCAAGGATGTGTCTATTTTTTTTACAATCTCATTTTGTTGTGGACTGTAAGGACAAGTACTTTTATGAATAATGCCATGATCTTTGAGAAATAATGAAATACTCAATACTGTTAGGTTGTCCAAGTGCTCTTATCATTCTTTCCTCTTCCTCTATTCCTAGACAGTCGCTCCTCTCCTACATTGTTTTATGTCCACTCACGACAACATAACAAATACCATTATCATTGTGAAGAACTTGAATGTTAGTTTGAAGTTGAGTTTGAGCCATGTGGTAAAAATCAATTAAGGCTTGATAAGCTTCAATTTTGCCTTCAAGGAAGAATGTGATGAAGTATTCAGAGTGTGTCCAATTAGGAGTACAAGAAGGACCGCATAAATTGCTATGGATGAGTGTAAAAGGCTGAGACGCATGATATTCATTTGGAGGAAAAGATGTTTGATGATGCTTAGAAATTTTGCAGGAGTCACAATAAACGTTGGAACAATCTTTATTTGCGCAAATGAAAGGAAACATTTAAGACATACAATGAAAGTTAGGATGTCATAACCATTTCTGCCATAACTCCAATTCACTAGTCCCCGTCCTAAGAAACGTGGAGATCTTTATTGATGCTTGAACAAAAGTGTGAACTTGCCAATAAGACTTTAGGCCAATTTAGATTTAAGTTAGGTATAATTAATTATAAAAATAATTGATTTTAATTATAATTGATTATGTTATAACGCAATCTATTTAGTATTGAAATTAATTTTATCTATACAAATTACTAAAAAGGACATTGCTTTTTAAAATTAAATTATTGACAAAGTTGTGTTTAATATTATTAAATTTGTTAAACTTTATTTAATAAGTAAAATATATTGTTTAACAATAAAATTGAATTTATAAGCAACCTTTTAGAGTTTATTTCAAAATGTGATTCTGGCTCAATAAATTATTAACTTTGGTGGCTGTTTGGATAAATTTTGCCAAAAATCAATTATTTTGGCTCAATAATCGATTTTTGGCCGAATCCAAGCAAGCTATTTGTTCGGATAGTTTGTTTTCCATTAGCATCTCATATAATCTAGTTAAATATGATAGAATGAAGCATGTTGAAATCAGCAGGCATTTTATAAGAGAAAAGATATATAAAGGTTTAATTCAATTAGTCTATATTCCTTCTAGAGAACAAATGGCGGACATTCTCACAAAAGGACTAGCTTGAACAAGTTTGAATACTTCACTGACATCTATAATCCAACTTAAAAGGGAGTGTGAAAATTCTAGAATTATTTTTCTATATGTTTGTATTTAATGTGATTATTGTAAGGATCAGTTGATTTTTCGGCCCCATAGAATTAATTGGGCAGATTGCATGTACTGTAGTTAATTTCAATTTGAGTGGAATAACATATCCAAGAATCATTCCCGGCCGCAGGATCCAAGCTAGGCAAGTGGATGCAGAAGTTCCCACATGACATCATGTTTATGAAAAATGGAGCTAGCTCCTGACATGTGCTGCTGTTTACAGGACATCGTTGCTGTTGCTGCTATTCTTTCTTATGGTAACAATGCATTGGTAAACTTCGACATTGAGAATATTGGAGATCATATTGCATTGTCTTAATTCATAGAAGTAGAACAATTACTCAAAGCAGTGGTTGTTTTATGTTAAAGAGCATCAAACAGGCAAATGATAACTGAGATCAATTTTCGCAGGTATTTTAGAGAGGTTTGAATTCAACTGAAAAATCTTGTGATTTAAATGGCATAACAAGTCGTCAACATTGGCTTTACTTATCAGACTATGGTTTTTCCAGAGAGTTCTCACCTTGTTTCATTACTTGGGATTTACTTCTGTCTTTTATGCTCTGTTTGAACCAATTGCAGGGTGATATCAAGAATGATGAAGGCTTGGAGTAATAAGACTATTCAATTTATGAAGACTGTAGTTTACACGGATCTTCATTATTTGTCATTTTCTAATTTGAAGCTTTAAAATTAGAGTGTTTTTTACAGCTATTATTCTTTTCATCAACATTTTTATGTTATTGAAGAAAAAAAAATAAATTAAAAAATAACATTCTGGCACATGGATATGTATAAAAGAAGTATTAACAAGCATGCGAAGCAATTTGAAGTATCAGTGCCTCATAGAACTTGATTAATGTTTAATAGTGATTAGAATTCTTCCATTCGGTGTTCCCTAAAAATCCCGGGGGGGGGGGGGGAGGCTGGGCTCAATAGATAAATCGGAAGACAAACAATTTCATATACTGCATATTAGTGAAGGCTAACTAATGAAGATTCATATACACGTAATCTCAGAAATTTTAATAAATGTCTCTTGCTCAGGAACACTCCAACTTAGAATTTTATATTTCTATTCACACTTGCCATAATCATATACGTATTCTCATTATATTAATCACCCTTTGCTCAAGTGACATGGCAAGCACCATGTTGTTCATTGCAATTATAGGACATAAAAATTTGAATTAATGACGCATACATGTGATGGCAATCAAATTTGATACGACTCGCCCATATTTTTTTTCCATAAAAAAAAAATAAAATTTGATATGGATGCTTTGATTCCATTTGACGCTAAAACAGAAATAACATGCGGGGTTAATGCAATCTATGGCTTCCATTTCTTACCTTCAACTCTTTCTCCTCCTTCCCCCTTCTTCATTTTACTTTATGTGTGTTAAAACTTTAAATCATGTTTGTAAAACAAGATATTACGTTAACTGATACATTATTTTAATACTTAATCAATTTACAACACTATATAGAAACCACTATTCACACCCTTATTTCTGCGCCTGCTTCTCATATACATGTTAGAGGATACAATACAACTCATGAATATTAACTTATACATGACAACAGACAGAAAAACCAAATAAGTCGAATATTAATTCATTCACATAACATGTGCATATCTTTCCCTTATATATATACATATACATTAATAATAATGGAGACATGCATATAATTCCCTAATTACTCTTCTCCTTATTTTATACTAATATAGGTTTAAGATTCTGCTTTTCTTTATGGGGGAACAAAAATGGAAAAACTGAGATTTGCAAGGTTAGAAGGAAGATAGATGATCGAATAGCCAAACATGATCCCAGAATATATGCTCAGTATTATCAATCACATTCATGTACAACTATGAGACACTCATGGGGAAAAAATGAATTGGAGTGTCCGAGGTCATCCTAGATATTTTATGTAACTAGTGGTTGAAGATGTTAAGAAGGGAAACCCTGGTTCTGACAAGTTTCCTTGAGAGGCATTCAACTTTTATCTCTAGATCCTGAATGCACATCTCCAAGTTTTCCAAATGGCCTTGAATATTGTCCATGGATGCTTTCTTGCCACTGATGAGAGACTTCAAAGTAGTATCTGCCTTCTCAAATTCATTTGTGCTTAATTCTTGAGAGTCACAAGCAACTCTTTTTGGCTGCATCAACTTGGAAATTGCTGACCATCTGCTTTGTTTTGACTGTCCCTTTGGATCGGAGATGAAGTACAGCAAAGATTCTAATGTGCTCACAGTGACTGCTTCTGCTTCTTTTAGCATGCCTAGCATGTCATGTTCCTTGGTTGCAGACGAAACTATGAATTGATTTCTTATTTCTTTGATGTTTCCCAAGGTCTTTCGAACTGCTTTCTTCACATTTTTCCTTGAAGCCAAATAATTTCCAGCCCCAACTGTGAATGCAGCTTCAGCTCCCCTTCTTCTTATGGCTGACTGAACTTCATACACGGACTCCTTTGACTGTTCAAGACAATCTTTAGCAGTACTGCAGATATCCAAGAGCCTTAGAGACCCATCAAGTAGTTCATCAACACATTTTTGGCTGCAATCTTGTGCAAAGACTTGTCGGGCGGTTGACAATTGAAGCAACTTATCATGATAGTCCTGTAAATCCTGCAAGCCACTGAGTTTGTACCTTAAAGAAGATGAAGAAGAGGAAGAATCAGAAGACTTCAATCTGTTCAGATGATCCTCAAATTGTGATACAAGGGGGTGAGGTGCGGTGGGAAAGCTATTAGTGCGTGTATGCAGAGAGATCTTTGGGTTTGATTCAATGGCTTCCATTTTCTCTTCTTAGAATATAGAAGGCTTGGAGATGAGAATGCAATTTCTTCTAAACTTGAGAGTTTCAGCGGTTGGCATCTTCTTATATAGCCAAAGAATAGAGGGGGACAAGAAGAATATTATTCTTTTCACATGTCACCAAGTGGGCATGCAATAATATCACATTAACACGATTCTTTGTGCTTCCATTGTATTGTTTTCTCAGTGCTTCCCGCATAGCAAACTGACCAACTCATTCATCAATTTTTGGGTTGAGAATCACAAGAATCCACGTGCTTTAGATGGATTCCTTGGCAATGTCTCCTCCATCTCAACTAAAACTGTGTGTACCAGCGAAGCATACTATTGGAGTGAGCATCATATATGGATCTTTTGTCTGTGGGAAGGGCTGTTTCTATCATTAAATAATCTCTATTCAACGAACTTGAATGAATAGTAGTTCCAACAAATATGGTTTAAGATTGTAATAGGAATCTATTCTTGTTCAGAGATTGAGGGTCATATATGGATGGCGATATTTATGCAGTTTTCTCGATTCAGTGTCCATTAATTAAAGTGGCTGGTCATCAACAGGAGGCTGGCACTTTTCCACTTTCTGTTTCAATATAAGCTTTGTCATACTAGGATGGAACATAGTCATTATAATATAATGATACAGAAGCAGAGAAATCATGCTCATAAAAATCTTGCAAACTACTGAAGATGGACAAGTAGCAATATTATGTATTATGATGCTACTAATAAGAGGGACAAATTGTCACAGGACAACATGTTTTTGTTGGAGCCATTCGTTCCAACTATTCATGTTATATGTTTTTTTAAGAAAATAAAGAAAGAAAAGACAAGGGGAGACACACAAGCACTATAAAGAGCAAAAAAAAAAAACATCAAAAGAAGTGCCAAGCTATGCGACTGAAGAGAGATTGCAAGAAAAAAGCATGCCCTACCTTTGACCTTTGCATATGTTTCTGATGGAATGCAGAAAGGGCTGTCAGTATATTGCTTTTTTGTACAGATTCTGAGGTATTCGACCCTTTAAGAATTATTCTGCCTTCTCTGCTTTGGCTTCTAATCATCCATTATCAGATGAAATTTTAGTAATTTAGAGTGGTGAAGAAGACTAGAGAGTTCTAGTAACTTGTACAATTTGGATTTCATCTTCAATCCCTGTCACGATGCAAACTAGTGATTATATAATAGGAGAATCACATCTGAGAACCTCTCAAAAAAATTATTCACAGACAAGGACTAATACATAATGAATTGTTGTTAAAATGAAAATGTGACTTGTTTTTTCTTGAATGGGACTTGTTAGTCTTTGTTTGTGAATAATTTATTTGAGAGATCCTTCAATGTGATTCTCCCTTATATAATCAAGAAGGAAGTAGGAGAGGTGATTTCTCAAGTATTCCATTCCACATGGTTCATGACATGAATTGCATTTCTTGAATATGAAGAGAAATAGGGCTTGGATAAGCATCAGGTGCTGATGCTGTTGCCAGTGGTGCCTCTGTACAATCTTTCATGGTATCTGCTTCTGAGTCCACAGAGGAGGAAGTTATGAATTATACTGAAACTATAGATGCTGGAAGGGAGAGACAGGAAGTCCTGGTTTAGAAGAGAATGAGATGTGGCCAGGACATGCAAGTTAGTATAGAAGATGAACACGCTTGAAGTTGAAGAGAAGGGAGGAATAAACATGAAGCCAGTATAGAAGATGAACAAATATATTCAAAGGTGTTAAGTTTACACGAGAATAATATCATGAATTTAGGTACAAGCTGGTTGAGATACATAGGCTTGTGAAGCCGTCAGTGGAGGACCAGGAAGCTCATCACAATGTGAAAGTTTCAGGATACCAAAATCATATGATCATGAAGGTACCATGAGGCTCATTACAATTGCTCAATATGAATGCATTTTTAGAACAAGAACCGTGGGAGGAACATCAAATTGTGTGGAACTAGGAGAAGACTATTCTAAACTATATGATAGAGGAACTGCTATAGTGATGAAGGCTTTGCGAACATGATTTGGCCAGCTACAGGATTTTGGTGGTAGATAAGGCTAATGAATGATCACTCTCGCCCATTTTAAGTTATCTAGATTTGCAACTCTGAGGTGCCAAACTGGATGAAAAAATATTTTTGTGACTATTTATGTCATGCTTCAATGAGTTGAAATACACTATACTAAAGAAGTAGCAGCTGACTACCTAGGTGCAGCTATTATGACAACATTTCAAGCCATGTGACTTAGGCTCCGTTTGGTTTTACTGTTTGCATCCCTCAAAGTCCTCTTGAAATGAGATAATATTGGGATGTTGTTTGGATTTGAAAAGTTTTCAAAAAGCCCATTTTAGAAGTCTATTTGAAAATACCCTCAATGTCCTTTCACTCAACATTCAAATTAGGAGCTTTTAAAATATATTTTAAAAATGCACCCAAGGCATGATAAAATAAAAGTTGGTTACATATTTTTAACTTGCACATTAATTCCCAACCCTCAAGTTTCAAATATAAAAAAGCAAGTAACGTTCAACAGAAGGACGTTTTATGACTTTTTCTTCATGTACTTTTTTAAATGAGCTTTGGAATTTTATTTTTTTTTTTAGACAAAACACCTTTGGCACTTGGAGAATCGCTGAAGTATTGCAACTATTAAAAGTGGATTCATCAAACGGCCTCTTAGTATTGAACTATTAATTAACAAACAAGAGAAATAAAAAGACTTTGAAAAAATTCGGTCACTCCGCCATTATACCTTTCATCATTTTTGCGTTATTGAATTAAGATGAATAACTTGCAAGTGAACAGTATCAAAAAAAGAAGATATAAAACTCATTGCTTCTGATTTTCTACCACTCCACATAATCCGAAGGAGGGAATTTAATTATGATTAGAAATCACCAGTTCAGTGTTCACCTTAAAAATCTAAGAACTGACTTTGGGTTGAACAGATAGATTGGAAGACAAGAAATTTCATATAATGCATCCGGTGAAGGTTAACTAATGAAGATTCACAGAATCCTATATTTCTGTTCAAACTTGCAACAACCATATCTGTATTATATTAATTGCCTATGCACGAGTGACATGACAACCACCGCGTTATTTATTGCAATTATAGCACATAAAACTTGAATTAATAACACACGTGAGAGCAATAAAATATGGCATGGATGCCTTGATTCCATTGACCCTATTTATTGAATACCATGTGGCTTTAACACAAACTATGGCTTAATTCCATGTATCATCTTCAACTCTTGCTCTTCCTCCCTCATCTGTGCGCTAGAACCGTGTTTGTAAAACAAGTCATTATGTTAACAGGTTGACTTTATAAAAAAATTACTGGAGGCTATCCTACTGGTTATAATTTTCATGTTTATATTTAATCTTAAAATTGAAAAAAAAAATTCAGGTAATAAATTAGAGATAAAGAATGTGATCAAATAGCCACAAAGTGATACCAAGATAACATAATACTCAGCAAAAGAACAATATTACTCGTCATATTCATGTACAAGTATGAGACACTCATGGGGAAAATTTGGATTTGGTTGTCAAAGGTTATTCTTAATATATTTTTTTTCATACTAGTGATTGAAGATATTGAGAAGAGAAACTCTATTTCTGATAAGTTGCCTTGAGAGATTCTCAACTCCTATTTCTAGATCATGAATGCAAATCTCCAAATTTTCTAAATTGCATTGGAAATTGTCGGTAGATGTAGACTTGTGACTGATGAGAGACTTCAAAGCTGCATCTACCTCAACAAATTCGTTCGTGATTGATTCTTGAGAATCACAAACTACTCTTTTTTGCTGAATCAACTTAGAGATTGTTCCCCATCTGCTTTGCTTTGATCGCCCTTTTGGATGAGAGATGAAGTGCAACAAAGATTCTAAAGTCCTCACTGTGACTACTTCTGCTTCTTTTAACATTCTAAGCAAGACCAGCTCCTCGTTTTCTATGGTTGAAGAACAAATATTTTTTGTCCTTTTGACATTTACAAAGGCCTTTTGGATTGCCTTCTTCATCTTCTTCCTTGAAGCCAAGTAATTTTCTCCCTCAATTGTGATTCCATTATCTGCAACTCTACTTCTACGAATGGTTGAGTGAAGTTCATGCTTGCCTGCTTTTGATTGAATTAGGAAATCTCCAACGCTGCTGCAGATATCCAAGATCCTCAAAGAAATATCAAGCAGTTCATCACAGACTTGTCGCTGCATTCTCTTGCAAGGGCCTGCTGAGCCATTGGCAATTGGAGCATCTTATCAGTACAGTCAAGCAAATCTTGCAGGCCACTGAGTTTGCATCTTAGAGGAGAAGAAGAAGAAGCTGATTCAGAAGACTTTAATCTGTTAAGATGCACCTCAAATTGAAATAAAAGAGGGTGAGATGCAGAAGGCAAGCTGTTGCAACGAATTTGAAGAGAGTTCTTTGTGTTTGGGGCAATGGCTGTCATTTTTTCTTCTCAGAAAAAGAGATGGCTAAGAGGTTGTATGTATAATTTGTTCAAAACTAAGTTCTAATTGTCAGCAATCTTCTCTATATATGGCAAACAAGTAGAGGCAGACAAGAAGAATATATTCCTCGTCAAATGTCACAAAGTCACCGTGACTTGGATCTTAAACCTAAGATGGCATTTTGTTTGTTCAGTGCCTCCCAGACACCAAGCTTCCCAACTCATCCTTCAGTCTTAAACTTGGGAATCACACGAGTTCTCCAGCAATGGCAACTTCCCCAGATGGGATTCCTCTTATATGTCTCCTGCATCTTAAAATCTATCTGATATAAAAACCCAAATTTTAAACACCATGTGGGAAGGCCATTATATTTAGCATCAATATGATACTATGCCAAGAGAAAGAGGAACAGTTTCTGTCATATGATACCACTTGGTTGTTAAATTTTCTTATTACTTTATTGCAATTTATTCTTCTTGAGGAACATTTTCATATTCACATCACCATGGTTGATCTTTTTTTTTTTTTTCCGACGTTCATGCACTGTTTCTTATTTAATATCAAATGATTGATATTCAAGCCAATGCACATGGTACCCTGCTTTACTTGAAATCATGAAGATTAAACTTAATACATTGTTGTTCCCAATACAATACTAAATAAATTAATCCATGATTAAGGATATGCAAGACGTTAATGATGCCTTTAACTGTATAAAATAAGGTAAAAAAATGATCAATTTGGTTTCATGGTTTTACTTTTTATTATCCCAAATGCAATTGTCTATGACTTGCGTATTTTCCCTTGAAACTAACTTCTATCATCATCATCATTGTTATTATTATTTGTAGGGAAAATTGATTAAGAGATACAAGGAACAAACAAAAAGCCTGCAATAGTTTTGGAAAGGCAATTGGGGAGCTAAATACTAAAACTCTTTCTGCTTTAGGAAAGGTTACGCCAAAGGTTCTTTTTCCGTTGTTGTTGTTATGAAGGAAAAACTATTGAAGATATACAGAAAACAAAACAAGAAGCCTGCATTAAACTCTGTTCTGCACTGGGGAGGCTGAGTAAAAAGTATTTTAGCAACACTATAAGGCAGGGATTCAACATATCCATTAGCACCTATGATGAAGCGATAAAGTTATAAAAAGCTTGAGAACTTTGAAAATCCTGTTATTGATTATTCACTGCTAACAAAGTAATAGGCTTTTCGCTTTGAGCAACCTTTTTGAATTCTCATTATCTTCTATATTAAAACTTTAATATTGAGAATAATAATTGTTTTTAGTAAGACAATCAGTTTCTATTTCAACAAATAGATGTAGTACAGTTTCTATTTCTATGGTTGCTTAAGTGAAAATAATTCACATGTCTTTACAAAACTTTAATGCCTCCCCTTAGTACATTAAACTAGTAATTGAGGATGTTGAGAAAGGCAACTCTAATTTTGATCAAACGCCTGAAAAGAAACTCAAGTCCTTCTTCAAGATCTTGGATGCAAGACTCCAATTTTTCCAACTTATTTTGCAAATCATTGATGTTGTTTGACTTGCTTGTCATGTTAAATACAAAGAACTGCAATGCGGAATCAACTTTTTCAAACTCATTCTCATCTTCAACTCCTTGTGCAGAAACTACTCTTTTGCTGTGCATTAGCTTTGAAACCAAAGACCACCTGCTTGGCTTTGATTGTGTTGAACCTGAAATGAAGTTCAACAAAGACTCAAATGTTGAAAGAGTAACCACTTCACCTTCCTTTAACAAGCTAACCAAGGTCATGGTTTGATGATCTTTGTTTGTGTCAAGTCGACAACATTTGTTTGCAGCAACTCCCTTTAGACTCTCTAGGGCTTTGAAGATTGCTTTTCTCACCACCTTTCTTGAGGTCAAGAATTTCTTAACCTCAGTTGCGAGTTCCACATCATTTCCTCCTCTTCTTCTTCTTATAATTGATTGAAGTTCCCGGGTGCATTCTTTCGTGTGCAGCAAGGCATCTTTTGCTGATGTGCATGCGTCTAGGACCCTTAGAGATCCATCCAATAGCTCATCTACCCATTTCTCTTGATGTTCCCGGACAAGTGCTTCTTGTGTAAGGGGAAGTTGGACTAATTTCTCAATAGAATCATGCAAGTCCTGAAGGTTATTGAGCTTCAAGCTGAGCAATGAAGAAGAAAGAGTGGCATCTGTGGCCCCAAAATGAGAAAAGTGTTCATGGCATTGTAGAATTAAAGGATGGGGTTTTGATGGCAAACTATTAGAACGAACATGGTTGTGGGATTTTTTATTTAATACAGAGGCTGCCATTTTTTTCCTCGAGAGAAGAGAAAGGTCTTGAAATTGAAAATGTTGAATTGAATCACTGATTTGCCTTCCTCTTCTGGAAATGGCTATATATGTATATATCAAGGCATAGGAGAATTCATGAATCTCACCAATGTTGCTAAGTGCTAACAACCTAGATTGATCTAGGCACAGCCATGGATTTGGGATGCAATATCTCCTTATCTTAATCTCTCACCATAATCTCTACAGCTCATAAACCCATTTTTAATATATTTTGTCCTTATTATTTTGTTTCTCTCACTTCTATGATCAGATAAGGCCAGTTTTTTAATCAGGTGCGCTGTATCTTTATACTTAATTATTATACATTGCACGAGGGACAATGACATTTACATGTTAGTTGCATCTAATAATTTAAGATATTTCCTTCTGTATAGGGTTTTCTTTCTTCTAACATTAATTTGAGTATTTCATAATGTTTTAGACCCACTAACATGGGAATAGAGGCAATTATAAATCCAGATTCGGGGAATCAATACAAGATATGGATTTCAATAATCACTCTTCTCATCCTTATCTGTACTACCAATTTAATTCCAAAACATTCAAATTATCTGAAAAAAAGAAATGAGAATTTTATCCACATATATTAAGATTATGTGCAATGAAAGTAACGGATTTTATGAACTCAATGTGCCTATGACATCCCCATCTTTTTTGCATTAATGTTATGCCTCTAAATTCTGTATTTTAACTTGTTTTGTGAAGTTTCTAACTTGTTTGGGAAAAGAAACAAGGGATCATTAAAACAATAGACTTAGGCTGTAATTTAAAAAATATTACACATGATTTAATTAATCAATCATTAATGATACCCAAACTCCAAAGATTTTTCAATGTGAACAACTTATTTACTTTTGAGTGTTGGATTTTAGTTTTAGGTTCGAAGTTGGTTTCATTTAATCTAGTGATGTCTTCAAAAAGACAAAAAAATATTTACGTCATGATATTTGATTTACCTTTCTCGTGAGATGACACCCTACTTATTTTCATGTTATTTATATAGCCGATAATTTTATGCGTGTACGTTTGTTTGTGCTTGTGTCTTTTGTAATGCAGGAAGATAGCGTGAGGAAATCAGGTCTTGATTTGCTTGTCCTTATAACCCAAAGACAAGAAACACTTTGTTCATTGCATTCAGCTTCTGAAATATGAGCCCATGACATATAATTGAGACCAATAATTGATTTTCATAATTGTTCACCTATCATAGCTTTGGAAGTTGTGATTAACACACCGACTCAATGCATCATATGGGTCTAAAATTTGAAATCAGAGTAGCTGAAGGTTGGCAAATCATAATTTCTATAAATATCAAGTTTGAATTTCACAATATCTTCATATTCAAATAAGAAACTGATAAACATTATTGACCATATTTTCCACATTATTGCTCCAACTTCACATGCTAATTATGTGTCTTACAAACGATAATTTTTGGTAAAACTTATTCTGCCCCGAGTCTTCTTTGTCTTTCACTTATTTTGCAGGGAGAATCGAACTGATAGACAAGCAAAACTGAGATATGGCATAGATAGTATTTGAGGAAGAAGGAGGAATAATAGGAAAGATTAAAAAAAAAAAAAGCTAAATTTGGATTCTTTACATATATATCCTTTGACACAATTGTTGAGTTACATTCATAAACAAGTTTGGAACTCTCATATCAAAATCAGTATATGATGGGGATGGTCAGAAGAGAAACTCTTGTTCTAATCAATTGCCTTTGAAGCTGCTCAATGCCTCCCTCTAAAACTTCAATGCACAACTCCAAATTTTCCATATGACTCAGGAAGTCCTCAACTAGTACACCATTGAGACTTGTGAAATAGGAGAGACTGCAATGTTGCATTCACCTTTTCAAATTCACTTGTCTTTGAATTTTCTGAGTCACAACATACTCTTTTAGGCTGCATCAACAGGCAAACCATTGACCATCTTCTCTGATTCGGTTGTGTCTTCAAGCCAGAGATAAAAGATAAAAGGGATTCTTGTATGGTTAGAGTGACAGCTTCTGCTTCTTTCAAGCTGCTATTCATAGACAAAGATTCAGTCTCTATGTGTGAGGAACTTAGAAAGGCTTCCTTCTAAATTTTCTTCAAATGTTCCAAGGTCTTCTTGATTGCTTTCTTCATATTTTTCCTTGATGAGAAGTATTTTTCAGCATCAATTGTGATCGCTGCTTCCCCGCCTGATCTCTTCCTGCGAACTGCTGACTGGAGTTCATGTATGCTTTCATTTGATTGCAGCAAAGCATCTTTAGAAGTACTGCAGATATCCAAGATCCTCAAAGACCCTTCTAGCAGTTCATCAACCCAGATTTTGCAGCATCCTTGTGCCAAGGCTCACCATGTGGTTGGCAATTTTATCTGAGTGACATAGCCATGCAAATCCTGCAAGCCATTGAGCTGCTGGCTAATCGATGATGATGATGAAGTGGAATCAGAAGACTTCAATCTTTGCAAATGCTCTTCAATTTGTGATATACATGAGAGGATGAGATGCAGAAGGCACGCTGTTGGATCGATTGTGTTGAGAGGTCTTCATACTTGCAGCTATATTGAGAACCCACAATTTTTGAGAGAACAGTAAACATGCAAGTCTTGGACACTATGGGATCCTGCTGCTACCATATATATATATATAGATACATACACACACACACACAGAGAAAGCAGAGCAGTTGTGGGAGACAAAAAGAATATATTCCTCTTCAATTGTTGCCAGGTTGGCTTACAATACCATTTTGATTGAGATTTTTGTGCTACTATGCATGCATCTCAAGCTAAACAAATTTATGTCATGACAAATGAATCAAATGGTATGGGTTAAGGAGGCAGAAAATCATATGCAGCTAGAATAGCTTTTTGGGATCTTCTGTACATGATTTCTTTCTTTTTTGGTTTCTAACGCTATACAGGATAATATGTTGCCTCCCTAAAGTTTGCTCATCTACCTAGGAATCTCTTCATCTTTAAATATCAAGATTGGAAACAATCGGTGATATATGGAATCTCATGTCTGAATAATGTTCCCAAACCCCCAGATCACACATACTAGTTATTAATTGTTTTTGAGATTGTTCCAATGGTGAGGGACAGCAAATTTGTGTTTAAAAGAACGAAAGAAGCTGTCACCAACCCTTCTCTCATCTACAGGAAAACAATTGACAGCAACTTAGAAACCTTGGTTATCAGCTTTCTTCTGGTCACATTGAGCTGACTTGCTTGTAAGATGCTTTACATTATGTTACTACGCGGCTGGGTGATGTCATATTAGAGCAGAGACTTGAGACATCAGGATTGTGAATTTAATATATTGAAGTTAAAATACGCAGAATGCGAACAGTGTGCTGATATATAATATGCCACTAGAAATAAAAACTTTATAAGAGGAGCATGTAAAACCTATTGCTCCACAATCTTTAGCAACGACTGAATTGTCGAAGAGAGAACTCTGAGACTTTTGTCACTATTCTTCAGTGAAATGAAAAAAGAACCTGAAGTCATGCTCTTGTAAACTAAAATTTTAGAACGCGACAAAATACTTTTGTGACCAGCAAAATACTTTTACAACCTTAAAAGTAATAAAACATGACTAAATGGTAAAAATTTGATGTTTGAATTAATATCTACAATTCAAATTGCCCCATTTGATCTTTTTTGTAAGACCTTATTAATTACCTTATTAAGAAAAAGAAAATCAATTAAAAATGAGCTAAACGTAAAAATAATCAACTTTCCAAAATTACCCTTAACCAATAATATTAGTAAATAAATTAATGGATCTTGCTGTCAAGGTGAACGACAAGGGCATTTTTTAAAATAAGAGCGAGTACATATTGAAGATCAAGAAATGCCAAGTTACAAGTCTAAGGATATTGTAAATTGGGATGTGTCCTTGAAATTTTGGGAACCTATAGGGAGTATCATTGGCCAAAATGAAAATCAAAGTGCTTTCCTAAGAAATGTTAATCATCAAAGTGTTTTCCTTAGCATTTTTCCAGGTTCGATATTTCACCGAAACGCGGGTAAAAGCAGCTTTTTCGTTGCTCAACTTCAGTTCGACTTCGTTCAACATGATTTTCATCATCTCCATACTATGTTACTAATAGCACCTGGATTATTAGCTGACCATTGAACGAATACTTAGACATTAGTAACAAATAAGTGAATAACTGTTTCTGTGATTTTCTTATTTGATAAGAACTTCTCGAAAAAGTGTAGCTTTCTCGGAGAAAATATCGGAGAACACATTGCCTTAAATCATAAAGCAATCATAAGACAATACATTTTCCTATTTCTTTTTTTTCAAAAAACACTTTTCCTGTACCTAACATTGCCTTCAAGCAAGAGAAGCTTCTTTGACATCGTTCGAGGGAACTGATAAAAGTCGAGTGAACGACTGTACAGAAACCATCAGGGCTTGGCTGCTAATTAGGCTCGGTCCTCATTTCTAAAGTCAAAAAAACTTGCACCTCCATCACATTGGGGATTCCAAAAAAAAAAACAAACAAACAAACAAACTGCGAGATTGAATTAAGTGGATGATACTATGATAGTACAGTCATCAATCAAAATGCGCTTCTAAAGAGATAAATAAAACCATATCAGAGACACATAAATTTAAACAGACGATAATTGTACTGACGCAATATAACAAGAGGAAGTGTCATTAACCGGGGAAAAAAGGAACAAAAATACAGCCAAAACCGCCAATACTACGTATCCTATGACAAGAAGCACTTAGGTGTTTGTAGCCCTAGTGTAGATCTGCTGACTTGCATGTGCAGATACCATCCTAATTGAGCCTCTAGCCATCAGTTCTCTAATGGCCTTCCTTGCTAGTGATCCATTAATCTGAAATGTTAATGCAAAAAATGAGGGAAGGCTCAAATATTATATTAATCGTAGCGTTCATCACTGGATAATGATAATCATTCACAATTGTAAGATGCAGAACACATGTAAAGTAACCAATTGACTTCCACATAGTTATTGGGCTTATGCCTGCAGGCATTTTGGAAAGGGGGGCTTTCATTTGCTTTGCAAAAACAGAGACGATACAATAGTGTTCGTTGCTGGCCTCACAGAATGAATAGGAGAAAGTCCCAGCATATGAACAATAACAAATAATAAACACAAGACAGCAGAAATGTTCGAAACATAACCAATGAAGTTAGAAGCAAGAACATATTCCAACTTTCAATGCTACCAAAACACGTAACTTGTCAGAGTGCAAAATGCAAACCAAAGTAAAGGAGCATAGATACACAGCATAGAAAAAAAAAATTCTAGATTGCTAACCACAAACCCTGTCAGCGGGGGCAGCAACCATGTCAGTGGTCTTTATAATCAAGAATGTGTACTAGGCGACAATTAAGTGAGTCCACAGGATCATAGTCCTTGTGTCAAGCAACCTGATCAGAGAATTTTCAAATGCTAATGCTGTGCTTGGCTCACAAAGAAAAATAGGAGGGAGAGAAAATGAAAAGAAAGGAAAATGGAAGGGATGCAATTTTCTCTCATTGTGCTTGGCTGAGCGAGAGAAAACTCGGACGAAAGAAAAGTTGTTCATTTTATATGAACAATAATAATCTTATTATTTATAAAAATATTTATATAATAAAATTTAACATTTTAACATATTATAATTATATATATTTATATATAATAATTTTTATCATATATTATTGACTGAACAAAAACATAATTAAAAATTATTTTATCCAATTTAAAATTTTATTTATTAAATTATTAGTATACAATAATATTAAAAGTTGAAACTACGACCAATATAAGGTACTTAACTGAAAATTAACTTGAAAATTTAAAATTAGCATTAGTTTAATTAATTTAAAAATTAAATATGCAGCTTATTTAATAAAAGTTCATGATCAAAATATGACTCCACTATAAATGTCATGATAAAAATAAAAAGAAACAAGAAGCGGCAATGGAAAAATTGATAAATAAATTTAAAAATGAAAATTTCTCTCTAAAATCTCCTCAAATTAGAAGAGAAAAGTTAGAGATAAAAATATGTGGATCCCATATGTTATTTTCCCCCCACTTTTCTTTCCGTAGCCAAGCAGCCATTTTCTCCCCCACTTTCTCACTTCTCCCGCCAGCCAAGCATAGCATAACTCTCCCACGTCCAACCTAACATTGTCCATTTATCCTCAACATGAAACCAGAACTCCTCGACAGATAACAAGTACCTACCATTCTCACAAAGTTACAATTACCATGGTTTTTAAAATGCTTCGCTCATCCAACATCCAACATCCAACTAAATCTTATTGGTAAGTTCAGAGAAAAATATAAATAGAAAATCCCCATGCAATAATTAATCAAGCCGTGACAATTCGACAAAATCTCCAGGATTATCTAAGACATGCAGCAGCCGACCAGAAGAAACACACAAAAAGACCGCCAACGCAACCTTGTAAATCCGAGGCTTCAAGCTCATAAGACGACTCAAACACATGAAAATAAATGTCTCAAATAACACCAACAACAGACGATCTCATCAAAATGAATAATCCAGCATAATAAAGAAAAAAGGCAGCAATAAAAGACGTACCCTCAAACGATCAGAGAGAATGGAAGGTGTGATGAGCTTGTATTTTGGTGCCTCAGACAGGAGCTTGTCATAGGTGGCCTGATCGAATAGCACCATGTTGTTCACCTTCTCCTTCTGCTTTCCCTTGCTCCACTTCTGATAAACACAAAATTCACCTTAGTATCTCCTAACCATCTGCCATATAACTATAATCACCAGAAAACTAAACTCTAATACTGATTAAGGATGACAAAAAACAAAGCTAGACGCGCCCCTCTACCTGGGATTAAAAATTGGCATTGTAACGATTATTCGGAGCTAAAAAAAATAAAAATTAACAACAAAATTTGAGAACCTTCTTCTTCTGCTTGCCACCGCCAGACTTGGCGGGTTTCGAGGAAGGTGGAGGAGCCTTATCCTTCTTGGGAGCCTGAAACCAACACCGCACAGAACCATCAGAGACAGAGGAAGAAACACAGAATCATAGCATTAACACAGGGTCATACATTGGCGTTAACAAGATAATAGATATCTGAGAAAGGAGTAGATTCGCACCATTGTCTCGGTTCGGAGAGATTATGATCTCCGATTCAGCAGACGAGCAGGCAGAGGAGGTGATGGAGGCGAAGAGACAGTGAACTAGGGTTTTTGTTTTATACGAAGGAGGATGTTGAAGCCTTGAAGAGATACTCTCCGACGTCGTTTCTTTTTGCATTTTTATTTATTTCTGGTAAGTAATAAGTAAAATGCCCATTGGGTTTTCATTAAAAAAAAAAAAAAGAATGAAAGAAAGAATGTCCATTGAATTTAGAGTCGGTAATTCAAGTCAAATCCGACGAGCTAATCAAAACTTGTTCAAAAAAATTAAAATCAGACTTAAAAAAATATGATATTTTTATATTCGGGCTACAGGTCAGAGAAAATTCAGGCCAAGCATGGTAAGGTTCAAGCTTGGCCCAAATGCCCGAATAATTTTTTTACTTTTCTACAAAATATATAAAAAATAATAAATTTTAATTAATTATTTAAATTTTTTGTTATTTTATACTAAAATACCATATATTTGAGTCTTATACATAATTTAAGAATATTTTTAAAAAATAAAATAATTAATTTTAAAGTAAAAAATTTAATTAAAAATAATTTTAAAAATAAAATTCTGAAGTTCAGATTAAGTTTAGCTATTTGAGCTTTTTAAGGAGTCAGGTTTATTTAGGTTCAACCTATTCGGATCGAGCCTGAATAAGCTCAACCCAACCGAATTTCCGACTCTAATTGAATTTCACAAAAAAAAAACATTGGGTTTTGTTATAACATTTCCTTTCTTGGGATGGGCCATTTGGGCTTTGACTTCTTAGAATCTCAAGCTGAAAAAAAATGAGCAAAAAAGGACTCAAGCATCTCGAAATAACAATTCAATAGGAAGGGAAATTATATGTAGATCTCTTGAAGTAAAATTTATTTAATAAATTTTATAAAATTTAAAAATCATAGCTAAATTTATAATTTAAAATCAAAATACAAAAATAATATTATCATTACTTATTAAATTATAATGACAAAAATGCCCCTCACCCTCAATTAAATCTCATGCATGCTCTGCTTATTCATGAGTACTTTGCCGCATTCTTCTTTTTCTTCACCATGGCATTGTGATCAACAATTTCTCTACCTTGTTTTTCCTCGCCAATTGAAGACTACAAAATTGTTTATTATCAATGCTTCTGGAGCCTAAAATTTGGGTGGGGCATACTTATTTAACCAAACTCAATTCAGATTATGCTTATTTTGATCAAACTTAAAATATCATAATATATAAAAAAATTCATATAACCAAGGTTGACTCTAACTTGTCAAGTTTTTGGGTTTATTTAGACAAGCACGAATACCTAGTTTGTTGAATACATTATTTTATTTTTTTAAGTAATTTCAATTTTTATTTAAAAAATAATATTTTTAATTTTTATACTATCTTCATATTATTTTATAAATAATAAAAAAAGAAATTCAAATATTCAGGCTCAGCCAATTTAGGCTCAGCCTTTGGCCTGAATTTCTTTAGATTTATTTAGGCAACCTAAATAAGCCATAAAGTAAAGAAAATTTTTTAAATTTTCAAACTTATTTGGGCTGACTCGTTAGATTTGACCCATATTACTACCTCTAAATGCCTCTTTGTCTTGTTTATACAAGCAACTCCTTCATCTTCACAATCGATTGTAATTGACACTACTTGTCATTGCTCCTATACTTGCTTTGCACACTAAAGGTCCTATCTAAATCAATTGATAGGATTTCATTATTTAGTTTAAGCTTTCATAAATTTAAGTTTTAGTTTTCATTATTCAATTTTTAGACTACTCTATGATAAAAGCCGCTAGGTATAGAATAGTGAAAAGGAGATTTGGCAGTTTGCAGAAAAGTTTAAATATTTTTTCTAGTAGATAAATGTGTTTGTTAAAAACAAAGAGATCAAGTTCAATTATGGAAAAAAAGTTACAAAAAAACAAAATTGATTTTAGTGATTCTATAACTACTAAAAACACATGACTGGTTCAACTATTGAACATAAAAAGTTATAGTTGTAAAAAATTATAGTAATAGTTATAAATTACTGATGAGGTAGTAATAAATTATAATAACACAAGAAAAAAAATTTATTCAATTAAAAATTGATGACAAGATATGTTAAATATATTTTATATATTTTGGGGTCAATTCATCAAAGCAGACTAATGGTTTAGTGGCAAGTATTCTTGAGATTAGATCTAAGATTTTAGGTTCGACTCCCACGAAGGCAGGAGTAGGTTTTCTTTTTTTTACCTTTCAACTTGTTTAAATTACCATAAGATCCTTGGCCCCATTAGATTTATTTTCTCCTCCCCAATCCAATTTGTGTGTTTTATAAGAGCTAAAAGAGCAAGATAGACTTGAGATTCCTAAACCTTCAACCTCAACTCTTCTCGGATTCCACCGGTGTTCTCCATCCTTCCTTTTTAGTCTTCAATGTCGCTAGCGTAAATGTGTTACAGTGTCGTTCGTTGCTGCTACTGTGAGTATCTCCTCTTCCCTGCTCTACCATCATTCAGTTCAACCTCTACTCGTGTGTTTGAGTGGGTTGTTGTCAGTTCTTCTTCTTCCTCCTCTGCCAGTTAGCTCACTAACATTGATAGGTATGACAGCTTTGTTCATCGCTATTGTGAAATTCTATTATGAGTTTTCTTCCCCTAGTCGTCTTTGTTTGCTATTTGTGTGTGCCACTATTCTTTCTCCTTCCTCCTTGCTTTTTACCGTCGAAAATTGTTCTCTCCTATCTAAGTTGCTATAGTTCAATGTACGAGGTTCCTTTTTCCTTCCTCTATTCAGTGTGACAAATTTGTCCTTCTCCTTTCCCTGCTTTGTCATGGTTAATATAAGGCGGGGAGCTTCCAATCCTTCACTTCTTTGCTATTCTTTGTGTGTTATTCAATTTGATTGTGATTTTTTATTTATTTTGTTACTGTTGTGCGAGTTATGAGGGGGTTAAATGAGCTTGATCAATAACTTGAGTTTTTGAACATGATTTTTAGTAGATAAATCCTCTCGTACTAGGACTGGAAGAAGGAGGAATTAGATTTAATTTTCTTTAAAGTCTAATCAAAATGATTGGAATTGGGTTGGTAGCTTCAACATCAATATTGTAATTTGTGGGAGATGAGTAGTCTGAGAATAAATGTATGACAAGTGTTCGATAAAATGCCTATTAGGAGAATTTTGCTTTAATATGTATTTCTAATATCTTATTAACTCTTGAAGAAATATGTCTAGTTTGGATGCTATTGGTCAATGAACTCAATTTGAACCTTGTAAGGGAATTTGATTATAAAGTTAACATGTAAGTTGAATTCTTGAGAATTATATGGTTATTAATAAATTGATGAACAAGAGATTTAAGGTTAGAAAGTTTCAAATGAATAATTGGATAATGCACCTAAGGTGCTTGATGCAAAGCCTAAGAGATAATCATATTTTAAGTAAATAAATTGGTTTGGCTTGAGCAATATTGAAGAAATTAGAGATATAAATGATGATAATTGGACAAATTTTAAGAGATTAATTTTGAAATTTAGGATTTTGAATGGTTGTAGTTGTTTGGAATTGTGTTAGAAGTGGAAAGAAGTTTTTATAAATTATAGGGAATTAATTAAAGTTTCAATTATTCATATTCTTATAGAATGTGAGGAAGAAAAGGATCTTGACAGGAGTTAAAAGAAGAAAACCTTAGGTACTTGGAAACATTGTAGGTAAATAGATAATGTCCAATCAATTTATTTCCAAATTTTATTTATATCAAAATATTATTTTAAATAATTTACATGTATCAATGTATTGCTAGTGTTGATTACTATTGTTAATTAACTCTAACACTTAAAGTTACAACATTCTGTTAGATTGATGAAAATATCGTTACAAATTCTAGTAGTACTTTATTCAATAAAGACAATAATAAAAATTTGTAATAAAGTTTATGGGATATTAGTCATGAATTTGTATATTTAGAAGGATTGATATTTTATACTATTCATGTGAGTTTAATTTTTAGAATGAAAATTGTATTTTAATAGTGATAATTTTCTTACATATTTGAAAATGAATTTGGAGGAAATTTTATATAGAAAATTGGTTACTAACGATAGTTTCGTTAGCCCTTAATATGTCATGGTCAATGACTAGCTAGTTTGATTTTTGTGAACTATGTTCTCACATATGTTATTCGTAGGTATCATACCTACGTTTGTTTCGTTGTTTCGACCACATCTAATTAATTATCCTTATAGATTGTGTGTTCACGTTTGTTCTATAGCTTCAAACACGTCTGATTAATTATTCTCAAAAATTGTGTGTCCACATTTATCTTCATGGTATAAGCCATATTTAATTATTTATCCTTATAAACTATGTATCCACATTTATGAACTATTATGATAAATTCCTAGAAATATGAACTTTTAATTAATTGGTGATTTCATACTTAATGCTTTTTAATTAATAAATATTATTATTCTTATTTATTTATTTAATCATTTTGATTTGTCAAGATCAAATCTTAAATTTTTTTATTATAGATTTAAAGTTTCTTAATATTAAAGTTATATAAAACTTTTATTTTGAGTTTATAAATTTGTTTACATTAAATTATATTCTCTTTAATTTATGTAAATGTTGTAATTTATTCACTTTGATTATGCAAGATGTTATGATTGGGACGTTATTTATTAAAAAATATTTAATTTGGTCTTAAATAGTGTAGCTAATATTATATGTCTTGCTGACCATTGGAGGACTTTTGCTGAGCTGGGTTAATATTCAATTTGAAAATGCCTTTTCTTTCAACATAAACATTCAACCATGACAATATCTTCCTTTTCATTAAGAATATTTTGGAAATATAATTTAGATTACTCCACATTAACTATAGTTATAATTCTAATTTTTTTTTGTTATGTTATCTATCTGTTACTAAGGAGTAGAGCTCTATATTGCTAGATGTATATTGTAAAAATTTCTATTATAAAGATCTCAAGATATCCTACTTTTAAGGGAAGTGTTGCTAAAATTTTCACAAAAAGTTTGAAATTTTGAATTATATGAAAAGTAAAATTAAATATAAATCTATATATATATATATATATATAATTATATAATTATGCTGATAGTGTGTCAGATGCATTCATACAAAACTTTTTTTAATTGAGGCTTCAGGGATATGTTTGTACATATATCCTGTGTTGGTCATGCCTAAATTGTTAAACTTGTTAGCAATGCATCATTAATTTAATTATTAGGTGTATGAAGTTGCACTTGTAAAACATTAAAGTGCTAGTTGTAAATTACTTATGTGGTAGTTGTATATAATTAGTGTTAAACTTGTAAGGCATGATTGATTTAACTATTAAATATATAAAATTATAATTGTAAAAAATTAAAGTGATGGTTGTAAATTACCCATGAGGTAATTATTAATAATTAATGTTAAACTTTGTTAATAACGCATAATTGATTTAATCATTAGATATGTGAAGTTACTATTGTAAAATGTTGAAATGATATTTGTAAATATCACTGATGATGTAGATATAGACAATTAATATTAAAATTATAATACATGATCAATTTAATTATTCAATATGTGAGGTTACATTTATAAAAAGTTAAAGTAATAGTTGTAAATTATTAATGAAATAATTATACATTATTTGGTTGATTTAATGTATTTTCAATAGGGATATCATTATCTTTAAACCCAAATTTTAAAGTATACTTAGTTCTCGAAAGACTTAGCTTTTCTTTTTAAATTTTATGGGACTTATTTATAAATAAATATACTTCTCATGACCATACATAATTGTTCCTTAATAATAAATTGAGAATTAAAAAATTCAAAAAAATGATGAAATTTCTATTTTAAATTTTTTTTACAATATTCCCTCCAATTTTATTTATAAAATAGGGAAAGAAGAATTTTTTTTATATTTATAAGTCATGTTATTAACTTTTTATAAGAATTTTTTTTTCATTTTATTCCATTAAATGATAATGAAAGAAAGCATGTTATTAGGATATGTATATTGATATGAATAAAATTAAAAATTTATTAATTTTTTAGAAATATGAAATGAGTTTTAGGTTTTTTTTTTATTCAATATATCATGTCAAAAGTAATTTATAAACAGAATCGGGAAAATTATGTCATATATATTGGAAGCCACTAAATTATATTCCTTCCTTATTTTTTAGGGGGGGGGGGGGGCGTGGGGAATAGCTACTTACACTAAGATGCCACTTTGAGTTATGAATAGGAAATTTAGAAAAAGTCCAAGCTAAAAAGAATAACTTGGTTGTTTTTTAATTTTACTATTTAAATTATTATCTGATCTCCATATATATTTTCAGTAACAAACAAATGAATAAAACAAAATGAACCTAAACTATTTAAAAGGAAAGGAAAGGAATCACAGCATAACAATATTGAAGAATAAGTAGCAGATCATAAATTATTATCTGATTTGACCTCCATAAAGGCAGTAGCTACGTTCACACTGTAATTTCATGAAGGCTGATTTCGTGTGTGAAGTAATGACAATACAAGAGAAGTGGAAGACAAAATTTAAACCATATGCAAATTAACTCGATTAAAGTCACATACATATGAACAGTTAAAGTTGGAATTTAATCGAGTACAAGTGATGACTTAATAATTGGAATCTAACATGGCGAAACACAACGTCAAAAGAGGAAAATGCTGATTGACATGTGACAGGGCAAAGGATAAGGAAAGTAGATATTGGAATATCATGAACAATAAAAAAGTAAAAGTTTCATATTCCAATTCCGAATAAATATGTTTGGCCCAAAAAAACAAATCCTAATAAAGTATGAATTGATAACCAGCACACCATTCCCTTTGCCAAATATCCCACAATATTTCCTCCTTCCCGCCGAGCATGCACAGCACTTCAAAACATATTAATTGATTTTTATCAATAGATTGAATTTAATACAATCAACTAATCCTTCACAATCTGACAACAAATGTTTAAACCTTTGCTAGAGAGAGGCGCAAACAAATTATTATTTTTTGTTTAGAAATTCAATAAAGTTTATTTATTTTAACTTGACATTTATCCTTTTAAATAACAAGATTGTATATTTAATCAGATGACACATGATCAGATAAAAACTTTAACATTGGAATATTGTATATATAAAGAATTTTGGTTTTCCAAGAATTTAATGACATTTGAATTTGGTGAGCGGTCCAACTTCATTTACTTGTTGAGTGTATCAAATATTAATTACAATTATTGACTTTTATTAATATTTAAAAATTAGGAATATATTTTTTAAAAAAAAATTTAAAACAACCCTTGCAGTAAAACATTCTTTACATATGTGCTTTTTGAATATTATAAAATAAAATCTCTTATAGCATTTGATAAATGTTATTATTGTTTCGCACAAGATAATTTTTTGATGGGTGGACTTAAACCCAGTGTACTATCAGTAACTGATATTGGAAAAAAAAAAAAAAAACAAAGAAAGAAAAAGAAATCATCCTCAGTGGGGTCATTTTCTCATGGCCGAAACTACTGTGAGAACAGTCTCTATAAAGATTCACTCTGCTTCCTCCATTTAGGTCTGAGAGCTCATTTGAGCCTTCCCGTTCTCTTCCTCTATTTCCATGCTTCTTGCTCTCCAAATTTCTCCAGTGTCTCGCTTCTCTGCTTCGACATATATGGATTTTCTCATTGACCCTTTTGAATAACACCCATATTTCCTCTCTGTTAACCACATATTTCTCTCATCCCTCCCAGACTCTGCAAACCCAAAGATGGATTCTTTCAATCTTGCAAATCTCAAAGCCGGGAAAGTTAATGCAATCATGAAGCAACAAAAGCTCCGAAGGATTGCCAACTTGTTTCGCCTTGTTGAGGTCTGTGTTGTTCTGTTCCTGATTTCAAGGATTTCCTTCCAGGTTCCGGTTGCCGTCAAGAACTCCAGCGACTACTTTCGGGGCTTCTCGGTCTTCATGGTCAGTCCCCGGTTTGTTTTCGTGATCGGAAACGTCATCATCATCACACTCTTCGCCCAGTCACGCCAATTCTCAGCACAGGGTTCTAAATCCAAGAGTTCAGAGAGTGATCTTTACCACCAGTTCATCCAAAGTATCACAAAGAATCAGAAAACCAAAGAAGAACGGAACAACTTCCCAGAAAAACAGAGCATGAGAGCAAAGTATGAAGGCAATACCAAACACCCAGAAAATCAGAGTATAAGAACCAAGGATCCCACAAAGGATCAGAAAACAGTGATCAACGAAAACAATAAAATTCACCCAGAAGGCATGAAGAAGGAGATATTAGACGAAGGGAAGATCAAGTGGCTTGAGAAAGAGAATGTAAGAGCAAGGGACAGGAAGTGTTTGGATTATAGAAGGTGCGACACAGAGAAATTAATGGAAGTCAAGAGAGAGAAACCTGGGAGTGTCCTAAGACGATCGGAGACAGAGAAGATCACAAGTTCATACGAAGAGGACGGGATGAGCAACGAGGAGTTTCGTCGAACTGTTGAAGAATTCATCGCTCGGCAACAGAGGCTGCGAAAGGAAGAAGAGTACTCTGTAATTTGAGTCTCGAAGGAGTTCTTCGCAAGTGCGTCAGTTACCGCTAGCATGTAAATTACTTATTTCTAGTTGTGATTAATAATTACCGCTGTTTTTACCTTCTTTTTTTTTTTTTTTCCATTCAAGTCATGCTATGTTATCCGTGGAATAGATGTGGAAAAGATTGTGTGAATGTAATTATTATTATTTTTTTTTGACCAACTGAATGTAAGTATTTTTTAGTTGATCTGAAATTGTGTGAATGGGTTGTATATATCTTAATCAATCTTATGAGGAAATGAAAATTTGGGTTCTCTATTGGACAATTAGTTTTGTGTTTATTTAATCACGTGACAACTAGTATTATGGCAAAATCCAGTTCAAGACAAAATTTACTACACTGGTAGCAGTTGAACCGCAGGTCAGCAATAAGTTATAAATATATTTTTAAATAAGGCCATGAGATTATGCTCACACTTTTCTTTTAATATATAATAGAAGGCTTTAAATCTTTAACCTCTACTCAAATTCTAACCCACCTCTGCTACTTGAGTTAGTCTCAATCTCCAATGACTTATAAGCTTATACTATTTTCAATGAAAATTGCTCATTCGAGTTCTTATTATAGAATGTCTTTTGTAAATATTATTTGATTTTTAATATAAGGTCTTTGTGAATATTAATTACATTTTTTAATATTATTATATTTAAACATATTAACTATGACAGAGAATAAAATGTAAATTTGAAATTTTTTGTTTTGACATGAATAAAATTAAAAGTTTATTTTATTTTTAAAAAAATTAATTTCAATAAAATTATTAGAAGTGATTTGTAGAATGAACGAGGAGAATACATATCTTCCATTTCAAACTCAACAATGTTTGTTGGATTCCGATTAGTTGGACCGTAGATGGTTGTTACTAGCAATGGGGGAAAAAACTCAATCGAATGGACAAGTGAGGAAACATATCAGACTAAAAGTTTGCATTAACATGAATTGAATCACACGCAGGTAAACAGTGTAAGTTCGTGGCCTAAGATAAGGGCCTTAATTCAAGTCCAAGTTTGGACAAATGTCTAGCTAGGATGATCACGAAGTTTAGAGGAAAATGATAGCTAGATTCCAAAAATTTAAATTAATGACAATCATATCTTGGCAATTTTTTTTAAAAGAATGAGTTTTAAATATTAATTGAAACAATAGTACATAAGAATCTTAGATATAGTCTGAGAGCTACATTTAAAACTTAAATATCTTACATGTAGTTAAAACTTCTGCATTTATAATTATTTGAATCAATATTTATAACTTATTTTTTTAAAAAATTTTTTGTTAAAAACTTAACTATTATTAATTTAAAAATTGTAGGACCTAATTGCCATTCTTCCAAAAAATTAAAGAAATTTGGGAGAATGACATGTAAGGACTGTGGAAGAAGATTAATCATTTTAAAGGACCTCAAATTTTTAAGGTTGCATCAAAAGACCAATGTTTTGCATGAATAAACAAACAATTCTAAGAAAAATAACACAAAGGTCTCAAGAGGATCATTTAATTCAAATCAAGTTCCAACGTGTCAAATTCTAATAATTTACAAGTTCAACTCTTAAATTTATAATTTTATTATGATGAATTTACAGCTTGTTTTTAAATTTTAACATGATTGAAGAATAAAAAAAATTATTTTTTATTAAAATTTAAAACATAAAGTTGCAAGTTAATCATAATAAAATTATTAAATTGAAAGCTGAAGTTATAAATTTATAGAGTTTTGTAATTTAAGACTTAATTTAAATCAATTAATTTTTTTAAAATTTATGTGTCATTCTCCCAAAATTTTACCGTCAGCTGAGTCATTTCTCACGGAAAGGAGAGACATGCATCTATCCATACACACAAACATGTCAACACCCAGTCTGAATCCAGCACGTCATACTACATAGTACAGAATAAAACATGTGATATAGGGAAAACTAAAAAGACCTGGGAGAGAGCGAACACCATTCTCTCTGCATTGCCATATTCGTACAGTGACATGGTGCTAAAACTCTCAATTAGGCCCTTCAAAAAATACACAGAGCCCAACATGAAGAATTGCTCCCGAATCATTCCCCCTGTTCGTATAATAAAGGCATTTGTGAGGTAAGTTGCCCAATTTGCAACTATTATTCTCTCCCGCTCTGTCAATAATTAAGCTTCCTGTCTTTTTTTTTTTTAAAATTCTGCACTAAATATTCAAAAAGAAAATGGATATATAAAATGTCACATCCCGACCACTGGATATTGTCTAGGAGAACAATTCTCTGATATTTTTTTTTTTGCCTTCCTTTTATTCATCATCGATCACTGCTCGTTAATTGAGAATCTCGTGAGTGTGACTCATCTGGCCACTTAATCACTTATATATGCCCTGTCAAATAGATTCACTTCTATGGATAGGAATATTTTTATGTTCATGACTTTGCTGCCTCGCTTTGTCTTCATTTCACGTTGTAATATACTGAACGTACATGAGCAAGAATATGATTGTGTGACGATATATATTTGGCACGGGCATTCGCATTCCTATCTTTAAGGCCATGTTAGGATCAGCGATACAAAATAATTTCGTCTTATGTTTAGATTATGTTTTCAAGATTATATAGCATGGGTTAGATCAATCAAAAGCAACTTAAGTTAGCTTTTGTCTAATCTTTAATTTGTAAACTTTGTGGAAATGTCAGTCTTGTGAACGCACACTACACGCGGGGTTACATTGTCAATTTTTGAATAAAAAATAAATATAATTGGAAGGAATATATTCTTTTGTCTTCATTATTCCTTGAGAAAAATTAGTCAAGAATATTTATAATGTATGTATATATATATGCCAGTACATAATATATGTAACACCCTTGAAAAGGAATCTCGGACATTAGTTTTATTCTTTTATTGATTACTATACAATCAAATTTCGTGGGGTTGAGTCCAGCTGGTAATTGTACTGATTACTTGGCCACTTTATGTCCATCCATCGTCCACATGCACATTGCAACACCTATCTTTCCATTAGCACCACAAGATTATTGTTGCCTTATTCCTTTTACCCTCTATCTTTTTCTCACCACAAGATGATTGCCATCTGGCCGTATTAGAAGCTTTTGGAAAAATACAACTATTGGTTCACATGGACGGACCTATGTGATTCCTAGAGGGTAGCACAATTTTTGCACTTTCTTGAATAAATATCTATACTATGCGTACCATATGTGCCATCTTATAGATATTAATGCTCACTGGTGATTAATGATATTATTTTCTCATGCAAATAAACTTTTGTACCATTTTTTATAGTCAAAATTTTCATGCTCATATAAAAAATATCACACATTTTATGTTCATTATTTTTTCTGTGATTATTTTTTTTCTCTCATTAAAACTGACTTTTCCCTCTTATTTTTTTTCATTCAAATTTGGGAGCAGTTAGTAATTTTTTTATAAAGCTTGCGAAATCTAAGAAGCACATTGTATATGTGTTGGTGTGTATTTACTTTTGGAATTAGCTTTGATGTTACTAGTGGTAACTACGACAACTGAAAGGCTTTCCATGGTATGAATATCATCAAAAATCAGGAACGATGCTGTCTGGGAGATTAATTGAACTTTTTGATAGTATTGAAAATAAAAAAATTATTCAACATTACCAAGATATGAAACCTCATAGGGAAAGCTCAAAAGAAAAAACCTCAAAGAAAAACTTATGAGGTATATTTAATTTTTGTGCAGTATTGTTGTGCGTTTTTTGTATTACAAGTGCATCTTTATACGTGTAAATATGTTATGCTTCCATGGTTCAAAATTTATGGGTCTGTCATTGTTGATCCACATACTTTTAATTTGTTTTTATATTTATCCCCTTTTGGTGTTGCTTCTAGCCTATTAAGTCTCATCTTTTTGCAATATTAGTTTCTAGATTTTTAAATAGGGTTAACGTACAAAAATGCTATCAATGTTTTCTTCCAGGCACACCTCATATTTTAAACTATTTGTTAACACAATTTCACCCCCCCATGTATTTTTTTGAGTACAATATTGCCATACCGTTACCTTTTGATTGTTTTGACAGTTATGTTTGAAATTTTGATCATTTTCTACCATCCTGGATTGCGACCTCATGTTCATATTTATGTGAAAAATGGAAAGCTCCATGTAGATGTTTGAAATTAGTTCCGGTTTCTCCTTCCTCTGCCCTTCATAATCCATTGCTTTGAACCCTTCCCTTCCCCATCTTCTCCTGCCACTCTCTTCTCCTTCTACATCTTCTTTGTGTTGAGTTATGGAGGAAACAAGAGCACAATAGTGGATCTTGATTTGGATTCCATGGCTGTGCTGATGATGACAACAAGAGAACATTCCTCCTCCTTCTATGGCGCTAACGAAGAGAATGAGAATATGTTCCTCTTTGTGTGTCAACTATGGGTTTCTGGGTTTGATTTTTTTATTTTTGCTTGTGTTCGGTTTGGTATGAGTTTCGTTGGGTTTGATCAACATTGGGATTTTATTGGGTTCTAATTTTTCTAATTTTTTAGATCGAAGTGACACCAATGAAAATCTTGTGTGCAAGAAGCTGATGCTGACACCAAGCTTTTTGAAGTGGTAAGTCTTGTTTTTGTTCATCTTCTCCGTCGCTATCACTTTTGTTTGATGCTTCACCATCTTCTTCTTCTAACCCTCTGCTATGGCTAAGGTTTGGCTCTTTTGATTTCAAGATCGTGAAATGCTCCGACTCTCCATTCAAAAATCGATTGTGTAGGCAAAGGGCGAGGCGCGGAAGTTGAATCATCGGAAATTTATGGGTTTGCAGTGGTTTATCAAGATTTGAACCAGAGCACAAGCTTGCTGGCATCATTTTTTTTTTTTTTATGTTCATGATCGTTCTTAATCGTTTCTGGGTTCAAATCCTAGTCTTGGCTTGATTGTTTTAGTTTATCTGTTTCTGGTATTGGACTTAAATTCATATATTTGAGTTCTTGTTTCATTTTAATTTGGTTTACTGATCTGGGTTCATCCAATTTGGATTTAAATATGCAGTTATTAATCTGGGTTCATTCGATCCTTAAGGGAAATGAAAGGGTGATGACGACATGGAATCAAGAAGAGCTGAGGAATTGATCTGATGTGTATTTGCTTTTTTTTTTTTAAATTTTAAATTTTTCAAATATGCCAAGGTGGCAAATAAAGGTTTGACTAATAGTTAACATAGTTAAACCCTAACAGTAGGCGACATTTTATTTAAATAAAGAAAATGTTGGGGTGGAATTGTGCTGAAAAATAATTTAGAATATCAGAGGAAAATACTGAAGATATTTTTGTATTTTAACCCTTTTAAATATAACTATAAGGTAATAGTGGCTAATGTGACCATGAGCTTTATTGTTTCTCATGCTAAATTATAATAGTAATTTTAAAAAATTAATCGTTTAATCCTTACAATTTTGATTCAGTTATAATTCAATTCTTCAATTTTAATTTATTATAACTCAGTCTTAAAGTTTTGACTTAATTATAAATCAATTCCTGCACTTTATTTCTTACAATTTAGTCCATAAAGTTTCAATCTCTTAAATATTAGTCCCTATATTTTAAAACATAAAATTATAAAAATTAAAAATATATTAAATGTTTAATATTTATAATATTTATAAAGATTAGAAGGGTTTAATTAATTTGAAATAGTAATAAGAAATTTTAAAATATTTTTAATCTTTATAATTTTATTTTTTTAAATATAGGGACCAATATTTAAGAGATTGAAATATTAAGGACTAAATTACAAGAGGTAAAGTTAAATGATTGATTTATAACTAAGTCAAAACTTCAGGAACTGAGTTATAACGAGTTAAAGTTTAGGGATTGAATTACAATTAAGTCAAAATTATAATAATTAAATAATTAATTTTTTTAATAATTTTATAAAAAAATAAAAAGCTTTGATCTCACGATGATTAAGGAAAAATGAGAAAAATGGAGGGTAAGGAAAAATGAAAAACCCTAAACCTAACATAAACTTTTTGACGGGAGGGTGTGTCTCCTTTTTTTTTTTATTCTTCATTTCTTCTTACCACCACTAGATCAAAGCTTTAGTGGTTTAAATTTAATTTTTGTATTATTTTTATTTTACATAAAAATATATAAATAAATTCAAAACTGTTAAAGTTTGATATAAATAATTTAAAACTATAATATTTTACTTATATATTTATGTAAAATAATAGTAATAATTTTATTAAAAATTAAATTTAAACCCTTGAAAAGCTTTGATACGACAGTGATAAAAAGAAAATGAAAGAAATGGAGAGTAAAAGAAGAGAAGAATGATGAATAAATCCCTCCTAAATGAAGAAATGACAATTTAGTTTCATAAAATGTGATAATGCTTTCTAAATCCCTAGGGACCTAATTATCATTAAAATTTTTAATAAAATTACAAAAATACTATTAATTTAAAAGAGTGCAACAAAGTTTGTTCATTTGCAACTTTAGTTCAACAAATAACTAAAGTAATTTAAACATTTATAATTTTCTTTTACCATTTCTTTTCAATTAGCAAAGTGTAATAAAGTTTTCTTTTTCATTTATAACTTTGGTTTTGGAATTCACAAGTCCGATTCAATAAATAACTAAAGTGATTTAAGCATTTACAACTTTTTTTTACCATTTTCATAAGTCTCTACTACTAATTAACCCACATTAGCACACAAATCCATGGTCATTAAGAATGGCCAAGGGTAAAAGAATCAAATTAAGTTTAAAGAAACACTTTGAATATGGGATTCCATCCTAGTGTTGAAACATATTCTGAAGATAAATGAGCTCAAACAAGGTAAAATCAAAGTAAAACAACACGTAGAAGCATAAATAATAAACTCAAAGTAATGCAAAACATTTAGAGGGCCAAAAAGGTCAATTTACCCCTCTTATGCCCATTGCAATTGCAGCCAACAATACTAAGCGCGTGTAGCCTTCTCTGTGTTATAGTTGGTAATTTGTGTCAAGCCTGACAGGTCAACCCAAACTCGCCTGAAAAATTTAAGGTTAAGCTAAAAAAATAATTTTTAATGTTAATAGGCCCAAAAAAATTCAGGCCGAACCCTATTAAGTTTGGTTTAGCCTGAGTAAAAAATAAAATTTTTATAGAATATATAAAATATAATAAATATTAATTAATTTTTTAAGTTTTATGTCATTTTATACTTAAAATATTATATATTTGATTTCATTACTATAGTTCTTTTTTTAAAAAATTTAAATATTTATATTTTCATATTTTAATTATTTTAATTAATAAAATATTTCAAAATAATATTTAAAATATATTTTAATAGTGATTTTTATATTTTAAGACCCGTTTTCTTAAAAAAAAGTTGAGTCCTATACGTTATTTGTGTATCTAAGACAATATATTTTATATTTTTTATAAAATAAGATAATTAATTCTAAAGCAAAAAAATTTTAAAAATAAAATTCAGGCATGTTTAAATTTCTAGTTCTATTACTAGATAAATAAAATAATATTCTTGGATAATTATTTAGTTATCGTTCACATCAAACTTAATTAAAAATTAAGAATAAATTAGAGTAAACATACATTATATGCAAGGGTTAAACAATATAAAAAGTTAAAGAAAAAATAATTCCAAAAAAATAGTATATTAATCATAATTAAATAATTTTTTTATATAATATAATTAGGCAATTTTTCTCATATACTTAAAAACAAAAAAGTACAATTTACCTAAAAATTATTAAAAACTTTAAACTAATTGGGGTAATGATTTTAAGTTAGTGGTCTAACCATAATTATTGAGATCAACTTGATCATAATTAAAATATATAAAATATTTATATATGACTATGATAAGAGCAATATTTAAACAATTAAGGCATTAATTTATAAGTAAAAAAATATTTATGAATAAATTATACATAATATAATAAAACAGTAACAGAACTACTTAATATAAAGTTGATAAATTATTATTCTTCATTTTATTCTTTTAAAGTTAAAATAATATTTTATACTTAACAGAATTATTTAAAAATTAAAATTAGTTCAAAAAATAAAGAAAAAAATATTTTTTCAAAAGTTTCAAGTATTTAGACAAGCTTGATTAAGTCTGAAGTTTGAAGGTGTTTGGACTTGACTACATGAGTTTTTTAAAAATGATAGAATACTTTAAGTCCAATCTGAATAAGCCCAACCCAAATTGAGTCTAATTTGAATAAGCTTGATTTGCTTAAATTATTGGCTCTACTTGTGTCATGCAGATCACTAGAGATTCATATGAACTTATGATATGTTATATTAATTAATGTGATTTACTAATCAATTCATGCTACCCAAGGACAAAATGGATTTAAAAAGTGCCTTTTATCCTCAAATAAAATTTCCTCCAAACCAATCTTTGTTGGGATGGATGTATCATTACTCGTTGTTTTAAGGTTGAAGTGCAATTTTAATCCTTTAATTTATATAAAATTTTATTTTGATCTCTTAATTATATAAAGTAACTTTTCATTCTTTTAATTCCTAACAATTCTAGTTAAAAATTTTAAATATTGGTAAAAAATTATTAAATATTAAAATAGAAAGTTTACTTTTTTTTAAATACAATGATTGATATAAAAAATAATCATTTTAAAATAGCAATACTAGAGATAAATGACTAAAAAATATTTTCTAAAATTAGGAGACTAAACTAAAAATTTATATAAAATTAGAGTAGTAAGCATACATTTTAATCCTGTTTTAACTAAAAAGTAATTTTTTTCCATCCTTACAGCCATTGATAAATGCTCACATTTAAGTAATTCTGTCATTATTTTATTTTATTATATATAATTTATTTATGAATGTTTTCTTTACTTGTAAATTAATGTCTTAGTTATTTAAATATTGCTCTTATTATGGTCAGATATAAATTTTTATATATTTTAATTAAATTATATTATTTTAATTATAATTAAGTTGATTTCAATTCAATTACAATTAGAATACTAACTTAAAAGCATTATTCTAATTAGTTCAAATTTTTTTATAATTTTTAAATAAACTGTACTTTTTGTTTTTAAGAATATGAAAAAAAATAACTATCACTATATTATATAAAACAAAATTATTTAATTATAAGTTAAATATTATTTTTTTGGAATTCTTTTTTCTTATTTTTTATATTATTTAAAGCCTACATATAAGGGGTATTTACTTTACTTTATTCTTAATTTTTAACTAAGTCTAGCGTGGATGATAAGCAAATAATTATTCAAAAATATTATCGTATTTATTATGTTTATCAAGCAGTAGAGTCAGAAATTCGTACATACCTAAATTTTATTTTTTAAAATTATTTTAATTTAAAATTAATTATCTTATTTTATAAAAAATATAAAAATATATATTTTTTGCATATGCAAATGATATATAGGACTCAAAATTTTTTTTAAAAAAATTTGATCTTAAAATATAAAAATAATAATTAAAATATATTTTAAATATTATTTTGAGATATTTTATTAATTAAAAATAATAAAATATAAATATTTTTAATTTTTTAAAAAATAACTATAGTAATGCACTCAAATATATGATATTTTAATATAAAATGACATAAAACTTAAAAAATTAATTAATAGTTATTACATTTTATACATTTTTTTGAAAATTTATTTTTTTATTCTAGTATTCAGACCTACCCGGCTTGGCCCAAATAAGTCCAAGTATTAAAAAAAATTAAATTCAACTTCAAATGTTTTGAGTGAACTTAAGTTAATTTATTAAATTTTATTTAAATTAATGGCTCTATCCACTGATATATTTTTGGCCAAAAGTGGCCATCACTTTGTATTATTATCATTTTAATTTGATAAATTTTTACAAAACAAAATCATTTAATTTTAAATTTAGTTGTTTCGCATAATTTTCCTCACTTTCATCACCTTCACCTTTTTTGGGGTCTTGTGCATGGATAAGGGTAAGAATCACCGGCAAATCTTTGAAACAATAATTTTGAAGACGTTGTTTTTTAAAATATTATTATATTCCTTTCCATTTAAAGATATAAGACAAATATAATATATTTTAATATTTTAAAATATAATTAATGTGTTTTTTTAAAATGTCTATAATAAATAAATAATTTTATATTTATTTTAAAGTAAAATATTCTATTAAAAAAATTTAAATATAAAAATATAATATCAGTATAGACACAATTAATTATTTTATTGGAGATGAAGTTTAGTTAAAAATGTCATGAATT